CTCCCAAAATTTAACAATTTGTTTTTCTAAAGATGATCCTTGATTAATATTTAAATTTGAAACCGAATAATTAGCCTGTGAGTGTGATTTTATATTTAAATTTCCCGCTATAATCCAGCCAAACTTGCTGCTTTGGATCACAGGTAAATTCTTGCCGAGTGATTTTTGATCTGTGCCTATGATTTTCCAGAAAATACTAGAGCCCAGCAACATGTCTATGTCACTCTGTATATTGAATTTAGGGTCTGCCATATTTTGCAACTCAGCAATATTTAAAATAGATTTATCAAAAGATACGAGTGGCAGCCTATCCGTGATTTGTGGTAACACTAGACAGTTTATATTCATTACAAAATCAGTGTGGCATGAGCCAATAGAAACACTAACTTGCTTGCTTATGTTTGACAGTGCCAACCCAACACCCTTGACAACGTGATCCACTTTGGTTGGACTTAAATTCAGTTTTTTTACCATTGCCTGTGAAATGAAATTACTCTGGGAGCCACTGTCAAGCAAAGCTCTGCAAAAAACAAAATCGAAACCATTAAATACTTTTATTATACAAGTTGACAATAGAATCTGAGAAATACTTCCTGTATCGGCAACAGCGCAGTCAGTGGAACAGGTTAGCCCGCTAACGCTTGCCTCAGCCCCAGGTGCTTTGTCTCGTCGAAGAAGCTGTTCGATATTTTCGGCGAGTTTAGCGAAAGAACGCTGGATACCCTCTCTCTCAATTGTATCCTGTGATAGTGGGACAGAGAGAACCTCGAGGGGAACCTGGTGCTGAGGTACTTGGGAGGCGGATGCGGGACTCAAATTTGGAGTGCCTCCACCGACAAATGTTGTATTTGTACTTACCGCGTTTGTAGTTTCAGGTTTTTGTAGATGCAATAAAACATTATGTGGGCGTTTGCACTTGAAACATTTTTTATAATGGCATTTCCAAAATGGATGGTTACCTTTTATACAATTTAAACAGAATCTTAATTTTTTCACTAGGTTTATACGTTCAGTTATGGATAATTTTAAAAATTGTGGGCACTCAGTAACCAGGTGATTTTCCTTGCAGTTTAAACATTCTTTTTCGATGTTTTGAAAGCCTGACTCGTTTGTGGCTGCATAAGAATTACTATAGCCCATTTTTTTAACGTTTTGAGTCTTTTGCTTCCCGTCTTGAATTGTATATTCGAGTTTTTCCAAAATTTCACACCGATTTTTCATAAATTTTGTTAAATCTTCCCACGTAGGCAAATCACCCGAGTACTGGTACGATTCCCAGCCCCTTTTCGTAGTGCCATCAAATTTATTGGAAATGACATAAATCATAACGCGGTCCCACTCTTGTACCTTTTCACCCATGGATTTTAAAGCATATAAATGTTTGTTTGTATTATCAAATAATTGCCTTAACCCTTTATGAGACTCGCTAGATAATTGTGGATATTCGAAAATCGCCCTTAAATGGCTATGAATAATAATTTTTTTATTTTCGTATCTATCTAAAATCAAGTCCCACGCTCTTTGATAATTTTGAGCTGACAATTCTAAGGATTTTATTAACTCTAAGGGTTCTTGACCTAATGACGACCTTAAATGTATTAGCTTTTCGACCTCTGATATAGATGCATTTTCACCCACTAAAGATTTGAAGCTTTCTTTAAAATCTAGCCAATTTGTGTAATTCCCGTCAAACGATGGTATTGTTATAGGAGACAACTTTACATTAGAGCTAATTTGGTTGGAATGAATAGAATTGTTAGAAGAGACAGAACCAGACTTCTGGGATTTTTGAGGCTCCAAATATTTGTTACAAATTGACCTAATTTGGCCAACCAACTCGCAGTAGGTATTTTCAAATTCTGAGCGTTCGTCAGGATCAGAATTGTCTTCCAAAATCTCAATTTCATCCTGTACGGAAAAATATTCGTCCCAAAGTGGTTCTATTTTTTCTAATCTAATTTGCAATTGAGATATGATATCATCAGTTAAATTTTGTAAATCAACATGCTCCGTTAAGTATTTTCTTGTCCTAGTTAGAGTGCCTTTGTATGTACCCCTTTTTTGTCTGAGATTTTTCAACTCAGTAGCCATATTGCATAAAATATAAAACTAGGTACACAGAGGATATAAAAGGACGGAAATATATAAATTGGAATGGACTTACAGTATGCTGGATTCCTGAGGATTGGGCATATAAATTCACAATTGGTTGAATCACCCTCCTAGGTGCGTAGAAATCCAAACAACAGCTGTGTGTTCTAGTTCTCTTTTTTTTTTTAAGCTTCAAGTCCAAACTTGTTCAAAACTTAATTACATTCGCTCGATAAGGACCAAAATTTCTATGGTGAATTCTCACCGTCTTTTCGTAGAGCTAATAAATTATGTGGACTGCATACTGTATTTTTAAATGTATTTTATTTTGAACAATAAACAAATAATAATTCTGAACAGAAAAAATGAAGCGTCTTACTAAAAAGGTTACAATGAGAGAGAGAGATGAACGGTGGTACGGTGGTGTTTTCTTCGCGCCTGTCTATTCCGCGATGCCAGCACACAAGGTCTACGGCCAGCCTCGATACACGTTGTTTCGACGTTGCACGATTGAGCTGTTTTTGCTTAGAGGCTTCACCATGTACAGGGTGCTTGATAAAAATTGGAAACATCAAACTTCTATTGTTCAAATTCATAGTGTCATTCTCTTATTCATGTTCATCAAATTTACTTTCTCTATTGTTGTTTGTTATTATCTTCTTAGTCTTGAAGGTTATTTTGCCGAGGAGGTAGTCACTTTGGAAATCTTCTGTCCAACGAGATGGAGATCTTATGAAGATCTGTAGAAATCCATGGATATTCGTGGAAATACGTAGAGGTCCAAGGATTTTGGTTGCAATCCTAAAAAATTGAAAAATCGCACACCATTTTAACTGATACTGTGGTTATTAATGTATATGGAGGTCCAAAAGAGATTCATTTCTTATGGAAATCCAAAGGATTTACATGGATATCCAAGGATATGCCTAAGGATCCCAGGATATCTCTGGAGATCCAAGGCTACCCACAGAGATCTATGGAGTTAGAAAAAGATCTTCACAAATCAAGAATTGCCGTGCCGTGGTTATTAATGTATAAGGAGGTCCAGGACAAAGATCTTTGGACAAGGTTCCCAAAGTTATTAGGTTGCCTCGTAATGAAGTATCTTATGGAGATTCGTATTATGTTGAGGCACCTCAGATGACGTTATGAAGTTATCAGGGAACCTACCTCTCTCAAACAACCTTGATCCTTGGATAATATCCAAATCATCTTAATGGAGATTCAAGGATATGCCTGGGAATTTCAGGATATCCCTGGAGATTCAAAGATATCCATGGAAGTCTTCATAGCTCCGTGGAAATTTTCTGTTCCAGAAAATTGTAAGTGACCACTTCCTAGGTTTTTGTCAAGTGTTTTTCTTTTTAAACGAGATATTTTCTCAATTTGCTGTGAAATTTAGAACTTTTTGAAAACTTAATGATTCTCCTTTGAAATATCTTGCTAGATTTTTAGGTTTGTTTTCTCTTGCTTGATCTTATTTCTCTCTTTCTTCTGCAATGTTGTTTCCTTTTAATGTCTCTTTCTTTGAAATAAGTAGAATTGTTAACTTACAGTCAAGAAACAGCTGATCATCTCAACAGCATATATAGGAGCTATAAGGACTATGTCCGGGGATAAAATTCAAACTACTCTAGTACAAAGTTAATGTGGTACTGAGGAAAATGATCCGTACTCTTTCAATAATGAGTAAAATTGACTTATGTCCTCATGATTCTAAGGAACATATTGAAAGGCTTGTTACAAGAGATGGACAAACTTCACATTTAAATATTGACTATTACTTTTATACTATTGTAAGTATGGAAATGTTAAAAAAATTGCAAAATTTAGGTTAATATATACTAATAGGAGATTATAGCCTCTCTCATGAACCTCTTAATACGCTTAAAAATTATTATTAAGTCCAATTCACACTGTTTCCTCGTAGATACCGGGGTCCTAACGACCAGTTCGTGTAACGTTTGTCTGTGTCCCCTTCTGAATGTGTGTATAAGCAACTTTGCATTTCAAATGGACGTGATTTCCAGCCGCGACTTCGTGCTAGATCGAAAAGAGATACTTAACATAAAGATATGTATTATCCATGTCTGATTCTGAACCTACACGTTTCGTCTTCGGCTCACCAAATGAAGATCTATTGAAATATATTTTTCTTTTTGCTCTCGAAGAGGAGATACGCTGCGAGATTGCAACTCAGAGGTGGCAGTGGGTTTCAATTTAATTGGCTACTGTACTGTGAGAAGCTATTCTTTGTACTATAATTAAAATAATTTTGCACATTGAAACAAATATTCTAATAACCCATTTACTGGGAACGCACACATCATATCAGATCGTCATCTCAATGGCCACTTTAACGGTAATTTTGAAAACCTCATAATTTTTCTGTGTAAAGATACACGCAGCATAAGTCGCTCCTTTCTAACAGTACTTTGGGATTTTGATAAAATAGTCAATATAAAATAACAATAATATAAAAGTAAAAACTTATAATGAATGTGGTAACCGGTCAAGTATGTGGAGGGTTTTTTTTTTCGTGTCTCTCATTTATCAACATATAAAAGATAAAGATGAAGAGTGGACGCGAAGAAAGGAAACGGAGCAAACATGGACTCGTTGCAGTTCGAAAGATAATAATCGAACTAATGAGGGAAAAGGGAGAAGCAGTTATGATAATATTACTCGATCTAATGTATGTCTAATTTAGGCATTAATTAATTTTTAATAGGAATTTTTCTATATGTATTCAAGATTATTGCTTCTTATTCTTTTTCTTTGTGGTAGCTCATTAAGTAAGAAGAACCAACATATATTAGTAGCCATCTTCAAAGAAATCTGTTGATAACTGCTAACATTTTTTTTTTTTTTTTCCAGGTGTCCGCAACAGATCCAGATTGCGGAGTAAACGCAGTGGTCAACTTCACCTTTGGAGATGGCTTTGAAAAACTACGAGAATTCAAAGTGCGTTCTGATACTGGAGAGATTTGCATTGCCTCTTGTCTGGATTATGAACTAAGAAACGTTTACGAATTTCCCGTTATCGCCACCGACAGAGGTGAGTCTTGTTTATATATTATATTTTTATTATTGTGTTACATAAATCAACTCAACAAACATTTGAAACACATGGGTACCAGGTCTCGCATCGAAAACACTATAGTTGCACGTTTTTCGTGAGAAACGGATTCAAATACTGCGATGACATCGTGATTTCAGTTTCTCGTTTTGCACTCCATAAATATTTGTGGTACCTTTGTGAAAAAAAATTACGTTTTTGCATATAGTGCTCGGTTACTTGTTTATTATCTGTTAACGATATTTGCGTATATTCTTGAATTTCAAATACCCGACTCGCGAGGAGAGGTGATTTATTAGACACTCTAAGGCATCTTTCGCGCTTTGTTGGGCCGAAAGTACAACGAACCTCGAGTTGAGATTTTTTTTTTGTGTCTAAAGATAAATTACTTTTGAGGAATGGCCGGGTTTGGTGTTCCGAGAGGCAAATTGCTGCACTCAATTTCTAGTATTTATAATAAGAAAAGTTGCGTCTTTACCCTACAAGCTTCACTTGAACAATTGATGACAGCTTGTCTTCAGTTGACTTCTTGACATTTCTTCAAGAAGCCAAACGAGTTAGTTCATAAAGGATGTTCTACTCTAAGGTTCTGCTTTATTTCCCTTCGATTCTGATTGAAGAAGATCAGCAACTCCGGAAGTTTTGAAAGTTTACCAAGACCAAGATTGTTTAAAACAAGGTTGCTTGATAACTTTTATGACGTCATTTGTATGCCTCAACATAATGCAAATCTTTATAAGGCACCCCCAGATGCGTCATCAAGTTATCCATTACCAAACAACCTATGAACTTTAGGAACCTTGTACCAAGACAGTCAATTATTATCAGAAGAAGAACAATTGTGCGAAAAGCACTAGGTACAATGCAAACAGAACGAGAAACCAAGATAATGCTGGATACCAGTCAATGGCAATCAAAATTTACTGGGTAATTCCAAATCACGAGCAGCAACCAGACTTTTCCAACTTGAAAAACGGCATGCACAAATATTTGACATTAGATCTTATATGATTGCTGTTTCGACCAACGAAGCAATGAACAAATACTACATTCCACATTAACCAGTTATAAAAGAGTCCAGCACTACAACAAAACTAAGACTAGTGTTTGATGCACCATCGAAAACATCAACAGCGCTTAGCTTAAATGATACAATGTTCACTGGACCAAAACTGCGACAAGAACTGTCAGATATTCTGCTAAAATGGAGATGTCATAAGATAGTCATAACTGCCGACATACCTAGAGAACATATGTATATTTTTCTTTCAAGCAAAAATACAGATGTATGGGTTGACAACACTTATTGAGGAAGATCAGCAACAAGGTTGCCTGATAACTATTATGACAACATCTGTATGCCTCAACATAATGCAAATCGACATAAAGTACCCCAGATGCGTCATCAAGTTACCCACTATCAGACAACCTATGAACTTTAGGATTTAGGAACCTTGCAGCAAGACAAACAATTATTATCAGAAGAAGAGCAATTCTGTGAAGAGCACTTCAATACAATAAGCAACGAGAAACCAATACGGTACTTACACGGTGTTACCCGCAAAACGCGATTGAAAAGTAAATAATACAATTTGAGGAAGTGAGACAGTGAATGGGGAACTGAAACAAAAAAAAATAGAAAGAGAGGGTTGGTCGGTGGCTAAAATCTAAAAAACAGGACTTCGTGTGAAGGGTTGCCGACTAGCTTCCAATGCGGAGAGGGGTGAGAATCAATTAAATAAAGCGCCACCTGCTTTTCCCTGCAGTACACGAAATCAACCGATATAACGAAAGCAGGAAACTTCTACGGACCTATAGCAACACAACCTGAAATATAAAAGTAAACAAGACAGAAGTGAAACGCTCTGCTACAATCAGGTACGGGTTTTTAATTAGAACCAAAACAGGTTTGACTCTAGAGTAGGTTCGGAGTGGGTTTTCCGAACGCCTTGGAACGCTGAAAATTGATAACACTGGAACCAGAACAAGAACACAATAAATCGAGGAGTACCTATCCTTACGTTCTAAAAATAGTATTTACAATAATTTAACTCAAGTTGAGTCCCTAAATAAAGAAGTAAAGAGTATTGTATAACACTTATAACAGCAATAATACCCGAAATTTAAATTAATAGACAAAAGCTTACTAAATGCAGTACCTTCGTAAATGGCCATTTAACCCCAGTGTACAAGTATTTTCCTGTATTCAGTGCAGCATGTATTTATGGGATATTAGAGAGATATAGATCATTAATTAAAGTTGAATTAACAAAACGTAACCTGAAGGCCAAATTTAAGATTATGGGATAATACAGGTAATATGGATAATTAATTAAAATTGAAATAACAACACATAACCTGTAGTAGAAAACTGCGTCGTTGTGGTGATTTATTTCAACAAGGGGTTGGTAAGGTTTGATAGGTTCCAGATATTGAGACAATACAACACATTTATCAAACCTGAGTAGTCCCTAATCCCTTGAGGTGAACCTGAAGGATTGGATTGATATCTTCCAGTGTTTCCGATGGCCTGGGACGGGATCAGGATCGCGACAAGAAGCAACTGGCCCTGGGCACTGAAGTTCAGTAACTAGAAGTCATAAAAGCTTCCAATTGTCTAGTGGAGGCTGAAGACAGGAGGTACGACTTGAAATATACAGTAAGCTTAACGTATAACTCTTTACTCAAAGTTAAGGACTAAAGCGTGACGACTAAATAAGGCCCGAAACAAATGGAAGTTATGAGATTGGACGTGGAGCGATAGGTAGGTATGTCCAATACTCGAAATTTAACTATATAATTAACAGAAAACTCCTGACAGCCTCACAGCCTGGATAACAGACCCCATCAACTTCTATTGACTTCCCTTCCTAAATAGGGTAAATTCTGGTTTCAGATCCAATGTTGTGGGTACTCTGACACCTCACCTTCGAAACTAGCAAACCGTCGAAAAGGAAGAACCCAATGGATAGGTAAAACCTGGTTACAATTCGGGCTTCTAGTTGAACAAAACGTGCTCGCTTCTCGCACCGACAATTCAACAAAATGGTATAGATTTTCGTCTCCAGAAAAAGTGGTTGGCTTACAAATACGGGATTTACGACCGAATCCAAGTTTTCACCCCAAAACCAATTAAGCCAGCAACCACTTGAGTTCCCAACGCCTCTAAAATCCCACAAAAGGTGGAGGTTCCAAGGAACGCAGCAAAGAGGACCGCTGGTAAAATCTGCCAAACTTGTTGCTTGCTCAACGTGGGAATTTAAAGAGAACAACTCTTTTTCGGCAATTTATTAGGTGAGCTCATATCAAAAATTTCCCAAAATTCTATTTTTTCCAAGATGCCCTCTGGTGCCAGATTTCCGGTCTTGACCAGGAAAACGAGACAATCAGCTTGAAACGAACAACCCAAACCACATCGATGACAAACAGAACTCAAAATTGTTATCCAATTTTCGCCCCTAACACTAATAATTTAATTAGTAATCATCATCTACCCAGTCTTCAGTCTGAAAAATCATCAAAATAACCACCTGTTCATAGGAAACAGTCAGGAAACTAGTTTCAAACAATGAAATTCGCTCTGACTGGTTTGTGATTTCTGTGCGAACAGACCTTAAATCAACTTATTGACACCTTTAATTTGACACATCATTTAGTGCAAAACTTGATAGGTGTCAAAGCAGAGACCGCGGGCCCTTGCCCCAATAAGCAGTCCTGCCACCCTTTTCCGGCAAGTTCTCATGAGGCAGGATCGACTTTTTAGATAGGGGACATCGAGACCTTCAATCTGATACCCTACTTAGGGCATAACTCGATGGGGGTAGTGTTACGTTTTTTTCAATTTGTTAAAAGATATTTCCGGCAGCATTTGCTCTCAGGCAGGAATACAGGTTAATAGATGCACATAATACTATATATTGATAATAGTGTCGACACATAACTCGATCGGAGTAGGAAAAATGCGGTCGTCTCCCAGACTAAACGGGACAGAACATGTAAATAATCATATGAGAAATGTACTAAAACAAGCTGGTATAGTCCATTAGACATCAGCTTTCAAGAAAAAGCCAGACTTATCACATTTAGGAATATTTGATTTTTGGTTATAAGGCGATGGATACGAAAGGTTTTAGACTAATAGACCCAAAGACAAAGAAAAAAGACCCAAATGAGATGTGATTTTCTTTGAGAACAAGAATAAAAATGAAGAAATAATCAAGGAAACAAAACCTGCAGAAAAAGATGGTTTAGTAGTATGGCCCATGCAAAACGAAGGATTAAACTAGAAGGTTTTCATGTAAGTGACTCGGAAAGTGTGGACAGTTCTGAATAGGACAATCCAGTACAAGCCGACAATAATGAATCTGAGGATTTACCTACAAGATGAAACAGAAGAAATGCAAGAATGTCAAGAACCAACAAATACAATAGTTGCGGAATGCAGGTAAATAAACCACAAAACCTGGAGGATTATGAGATATATAATGCCTATGGACACCATTGAGTCTCAGGATGATCCTCGAACTTTTGCTGATTCTCAGGAATCTGTTGAGTGGCAAAATGCAATAGCAAGTGAATTAGAGTCACATAATAATCTTCAAAATTGGACTATATATAAGCTTCCAGAGAAAAAATCAACCATTAATACCAGATGGGTATTTAGAACCAAAAGAAGATGGTTCAAAGAAGGCCCAGTTATTAGCTAAGGGGTTCCAGATTAAGTAGAGGAATCCTTTTGGTAGTATGTATGCTCCAGTTGCAAGATTGTCGACCATAAGGACGTTTCTCGTAAATTAATTAAAACAGGGTTGGAATATAATGTCAGTTGGACATTCTAACAGCCTTCCTAAATGGCAATGTTGAGTCTGATGTTTATATCAAAGTACCTGAGACAGGTGCTAAATGTTGACAGATCCAAAGTGTTAAAAATTAAATAGAGCATTATACGGTGCTAAGAAAAATTCAATTCAAAATTCAATCAAATCTTGACAAATTTGGGTTTTAAAAGATCTAACTATAATTTTTGTCTCTATTCAAAATTAGATGTTTGGTTCTTAGTATCCGTGGATGGTGGATCACTTGAATATAACCGGAGGTGAATAATTTCAGTCACATCTGACATCTCCCTGTCAAATTGATATTCTATGAAATTGACATTGCGCATGAAATACGGAAGACTCAAACACCTGAAAGTGTGGTCCCTCTTATCTCTGGCTAATCTGAAAATTTGTTGTTTCTTGTTGGTTTAAATTTTTTATCAAAACTTCACCGAGTCAGATGAGCGTTGGACATCACAAGAATTTCCCATCTGAATCTTGTGTTGAATAAAATTCAGGTTATCATCATCATCATCATCATCCACTGCTGGATATAGGCCTCCTTCTGGTAAATCATTCCACTGCCTCCGGTCTTGATTGAACACTTTGTATCCAGATGCGCTATTGTCCGATCATCTTGTTGGGAGACGTCCTCGGTTACGATACACATTGCGTCTAGATGTCTATTATAGTATTTTCGTATCTCTGACTCTGGCAACATTATAGTTCTTTCAACTGCGTCCGTAACCCTCTGATGATACGATTTGGAATTTTGTCTCTGAGGGATAAATTCAACATTGATCTCTCCATTGCCTTCTGTGCCACTTGGATTTTGTCCACAACTTTTCTGGTTCTGGTTAGAGTCAATTTTGAAACTGAAAGCGCACATTGATCAAAGACCTCCCTCTTCAAGCACATGGGAATATCTGGTTTAAAGACATTTCTCAGTTTTCCTTAGACTGCCCATGCCAATTCTATGTTCCTGTTCAATTCTGTGGTCTGGTTGTGTCTAAATATTCATAAGTACAAATGCCAATTCGTGCACAAGAACTTTGAACGTTTTGGAAAAGTTGACATTCATGATCTACCCTGTCTACAATAAGGACTATGTCGTCTGCAAACCTTCCTTAGATTGTTCAAATACTCTTGATTGATGTTTACTCCGATATTTTCCCAAAGTGTTCTTCTTCTTCTTCAGGTCTTATGACTTTATTAATCTCAGATTGAAAATTGAATGTCTTCTGAATCTTGTCAATGTTTTAAATTTACTCTAGAATGTTTTAGAGTGTCGTAAAATGCAGATAAATATTCTAAATTGGCACTATCGTCTCGTCTCCTGAAGTGTTCTGAAATGTTTCCTTAAGTTCTAAGTGGTCGATTGTAGATTGCGGGGGGAGTCGTCACTCTGCTACCTTTGCAGATATTTTGTGCGTGATTCTACATCTTAAATTGTCTTCAGGAAGCGTAGACTTCTGCCGAAGGAAGCTATTTTTCTGGGTGTCAGTTGGCCCACTTCTTCTGGTGACAGTGTTGTCCCCTTGAGGAATTTGAGCCTCTTGCTGAATTGGGCTGGATATTCGCAGAACAGGTGCTTTGCGGTCTCTATTGCGTCTGCGCAGAATCTGCAGAGATCGTGTTCTACTCTGCCCATTAGTCTTAAGTGGTATTTCACGAGGCAATGTCCTGTGAGCAGTCCTACGACCATTTTGATGTCTGGTCTGCTCATGTTTAGGAGCTGTTCAGCTTCAGCTGAAAAGGTGATGAACATTTCTGACTGTCTTAGTTCCGGATTGTGCCTGAAGTGGCTCCAATATGATTACAGTTGGTCTTTCTCCCATTTGTCGAGTTCTTCCATCATGTACCTTTAAATGAGGCACAATAGGGCTCTGGTCCATGGTATGGTGTTGAGGCCCCTTCTTTTGCGAGGCCATCTGCTTCTTCGTTTTCTTTTATGCCTCGATGACTAGGCAGCCACATCAGCGTTACCTGGTTGTGTGTCGCTAGATTTTTAGGGTCTGTTTACAATCCCAGACTAGTTTTAAGGTGCATTGGAAAGCCCTTAAGGCTTTTAAGGTAGCTTGGCTATCTGATAGTATGAAGATGTGTTTTCCTTTGAGACTTTGGTTGAGACACTCTTGTGCACATAGGTTTACGGCAAGCAGTTCGGCTTGAAATATGTATGAGATGTTTGCCCAGTTTGTCCAGCTCTTTCCGTTAGTTTGGATCCATCTGTGTACCACAGAGATGCAGTTTCTGCTTGTGGTGACTCTTTATTCTCCCATAATTGGCGCTCGTTTATTACCACTGTGAATGGGATCTCTAAGTCCAATCTAACCATCATGCGGTCGCTTGACTTGCTGGAATTCTCCAGTTTCATTATTTCAAAGATGCGCAGATGTCCCCTCAGATCACCACGCTCGAACTTGTCTGTATGGAATAGCCTGTGACCGTTGATTATTGCCTCCTTTTTCACACATAGGTGAAGTGTTAAGCAGCGTCTCTAGGGCTGCTGTGAGGCAGGTCGTCATTGCTTCCGTTATTCCTAGGCATATCAGCCTTTGTACCTTGTTTACCTTGTTCTGATCGGTGACTTGCTGAGTTTTGGGCCACCATATTAGTGAGGCGTATGTGACCATGGGTTTTCTTATAGTTTGGTAAATCCAGAATACCATCTTTCCTTTTAGCCTCCATGTTTTACCAACCAGTTTGCGGCATAACCAGATGGCTGATATAGTTCTAGAGCATGTTTTTTTCTCTAACTGTTTGTTCCAATTAATTGAGTGTTTGGTCCAGGCTGACCCCCAAGTATTGTACTTCGTTGGAAAGTTTTAGTGTTGTATCGTTAAGGGTGAGGGCTTTTAAATTTAGCTTCCTTCTTCTTGTGAACCGGACAAGAACTGTTTTGCTTGGGTTTAGGGATAATCCCTCGCCTTCGCTCCCATTTTTAACGATGTTTAGAGTAGGTAATACTTTGCATTCGGCTTGTTATCACGCCTTCATGTTTGCCCTTGATTATCACTGGTACTTACTACATCCTGTAATAACTCAACCTTCACAGAATCATCCAGTTATCTTAGCCCCGCTACTTTCCAGACCCATAATCATAGGCCGCTATTCATCTGGTAGTTTTGCTTACAAGAAAGTCTCTACCCATTCATCTTCTACTTTAAAGTTTAACTCATTTAGCTTGTGTGTGGTTATTGTGTCACAATAGGCTTCTGCAGATACAGAATCCTTTAACTTGGTTGTTGCTAGCTTTCCCAGAAGACCTACTCTTCTCGTAAGTCCCGAGTCCTCAAATGTCTGCTCTAGATTTTCCCAAGCTTCTTTGGATGTTTTGGCTGTCTTCAATGCCTCTTTTCCCTGTAGAGTTGTCCAAATCAAGAAGTACTCCCATTGCTGTTACGTTCTAGTAAGTATCAGAAATTTCCTGATTGTTCTAGAACGTGTATCGATTCTTTTGGAAGTTTTAATGAGCTAAGAAATTTTCAGGCCATTCTAATATGGCAATAATTATTTTAAGATAAACCTTCACTGATTTTGGATCAATGGCAGATGAGCGCTGGGCAATCACAGGAATTTTCCATCCGAATCCCACCAATTGAAAATTAAATGTCTTCTGAAATTTGCCAATGTTCCAAATTTACTCTAAAATGTTCAAAAGTGACGTAAAATGCTTATAAGTGTTCTAAATTGTCATTATCATCTTCTGGAGCGTTCTAAAATGTTTCCTTAAGTTTCAAATTGGTTCTACAATGCTTTCAAAACGTTGGAACGTTCTCAAAAGTATCACAAGTTTCCTGATTGTTCTAGAGTGTTTTTCGAAGTTCAGTTCAGAGCGTTCTGATATTTATAATATACCTATTACAAAGGATTTAAATCAGTTCTGTAACGATTCTCAAGGTGTTCTGAAAATTGTCAGTTTTAAACTTTCTAGAAATCTTGCTGAAAATTCAAAACTGTTCTGGTCTGTTCTAGAATGATTCTGAATATTCGAAATTACTTTCAAAGTGAAAGTAACGTATTCTGGAACAATTCTAAAATGATTTAGAAGTTTTCAATTAGTTCTATAATGTATTTGAAACGCTGGAACATCTTAGAAGCTATATCAAAAACCTCCCAAATGTTTTGGAGTGTTTGATATTTATGATAGTTCCAAAACAATTTGAAACTATTATTAACGTTCTAATATGCTTATGAAGGTTTCAAGTTAGTACTATAGTGCTATGTAATGACTTTTGAAATTTCCCAGGTAATTCTAAAGTGTTTCCCGAAGATTAATATTATTTGTTCTAAAGTGTTCTGGAACTTTCTGAAATGTTCCTGAAGACTTCAATACCGATTTAAGCTTTAAAGTATCTCAAACATTCTAAAATTTACTGAAAGTTTGAAAGTGTTCTGGAGCGTTTCTCAATTTTTGAATTTCTTCTTCAAGAGTCTTTTAAGCTTCACATTTGGCAACAACAGTAATTCCATCAGCTTCAACAATTTCTCCTATGGGTATTGACTGTCTTTACTTAAACAAATTTTTCTTTCCAGGTGGATTGAGTACAACAGCAATGGTCAAAATCCAAGTAACTGACGTCAACGATAATCGTCCAGTTTTCTACCCACCAGAATACAACGTTTCGCTCCGGGACGGTGGAGGCTCATCATCAGCCACCTCACCAGTTGTAGTAGTATCCGCCACCGATTTGGACTCTGGAAAATTCGGCACTGTCCGCTACAAAATCGTTTCCGGCAACGATGCCGGATTATTCCGTATTGACAAAAACACCGGCGAAATTTTCATCAATCAACCTCAACAGTTATCAACCAAAAATCAACCATATCATCATTTGAATATCAGTGCAACCGATGGAGGAAATTTGAGATCCCTAAAAGATGCTGAAGTGTTTATTAGCATTATTGATTCAACTCAAAGACCTCCAATTTTTGATCAGGCTAGATATGTGTTTGCTGTAATGGAAAATGGCAAAAAGGACTTTGTTTTGGGACATGTCAAGGCTACAGTGAATAATAATGGTGAGTCATATATATATATATATATATATATATATTTTTAAAAATAAATGTAAGTAGCTTAATATGGCCAGTAGTCGGTATCTTTCATCGGATTGTCAAGTCGCGTCACATTGAGTTTCGGGGGCCCGTTCGGCCGTACAATTCCCATGGCTCTGGGCGAAATTTAAGCCTTTTCGTGTTCTCCTCCCAATTTGAATAGCCGACCAGTTTTCGGTTGACAGGCCGGAGCTAAATCGCCGAATACAATGGCCATATTTTTCAGTTAGCATACTCCCAAAAAGACAAAATAAAAACTTCTTTTTTTTATTTTTGGCTCGGTCTTTTGAATCGGAAATCCAAAATAATTGCCTCTTTTCCGTTCCGTGCGGCCTCGGTGCACGGCTTTTGTTTATTCCGTCACAATCCGGGGCTCTCGTTTACCTAAATGCTAATAAGGACCCGAAAAGTTTTCGGAGAGACAAACCACTGGTTTTGTATTGTTTATCGACATTGGGTTTGGGCGATTTAATTAGAATAGTTAGAGGGGTAGTAGTGCAAGTAAAACCTCAATATGGATTCTAAAACTCTTACTCTAAAATTTTGCTGAAAGTGTTCTAGAGCGTCCTACAATATTTCTAAAAAGTAAGAAACCTAAAAATTGAATTGAAAGTCGTCTGACAGAAGTTCTTAATCGCTAAAGAATGTTTCTAAAAACTCCAAATGGTTCTAAAGTGTTCTGGAGTGGTTTGAAATATATCTATAAATTAAAATTTAATGTAAATAGGCATTTGCGTCAATTTTCTTCTCTTTTCGCAATCTACACTGCAGCCACGAGTTGCGCGCGCATGTCATTTATTATTACTTTCTAAGTTGTATTTATTACAATTAAACTCTCTTTTTTTATTTCTGCGAGACACGTCAATTGCCTCTATATATTTTTTGTTTTTTTGCACTCCATGCTCTGAAAATATCTGTCCCATGAATTTAACACTTTTTTTGTTTATATTGTATTCTACTTTTGTTGAACTTAATGTTATATTTGATTAAGACTCTCTCACTCTACTCTTTATAAGACTATCTTTAGGTTTTGGTGATGCCTCCGTTGACCCTGTGACTATAAGGTCATCGAAATATAAACCAACCCCTGAGAGGTCACCAAAAACTTCAAAATTTTTCTTTTGGAACACTTCAGGAGCCGGACATATACCAAACGCCAATCTAGTAAATCTCTATCCGCCAAATGGGGTCCCAAATGTCACTAAATGATAGTTTTCTTTGTCCAACTCGATTTGCCAATACTCATCTTTCATGTCAAGCACAGTGAAATATTTTTTTCTACTTGGATCTACACATAATCTTAGGTCCTCATTAGGTTTCTCTACCATTACAAGTGGCTGAACCCACTCTGTTGGCTCATCGACTTTCAGCTCAAGATCACATAATTTAATTTTTAAGGGCTCATACAAAATTTATGGAACACGTCTAATACTACTGACATGAGGTCTAGCATTTTCATTCAATGTTATGTGTTGTTTAGTTGGAAGGTGAATATTTCTTGACAACATCGTCTAAGGTTTTAAACTTTGGCTTAGCAATTGAATCTACTCTTTTTATCAAGTTTAAACTTGGGAAATCTTGTAATCCCAACAACGGAATCTGATTTTGAGCATCTACCACTAAAAATGACACTTTTTTTAATATCTTTGACTGAACAACAAAGTCGAGCCTCAGCCAAACCCTTAATTCTAAATTTGGAGTTTTCATATGAAATTAATGAGATGTTTGTCTTAGCAATTTTTTTAAGTAGTTCTAATGGTAAAGTGCTTACCTCAGCTCCTGTGTTAAGCGTGAACATAACTGACTTACCATTAATATTGATCTCTTTCATAGACATTATTTCCCAACTGTCACGATTGTTTTCATGCTGATGATTCTTTTTATTATCTACTGAACTCACGTAAAATTCGTTTTCACTAATGTCGGACTCACTGCTACTTTCCTGATATCCTTCCTTCAACTTTGCCACTTCATGCAGTTTTTTCTTTACTTTGTTTTCCTTTCTTCTTCTCAACGCTGCACTTTTATCATCTTTTTCCTTTTTACCGCTTGGAAACAAACACTTGCAAAGTGATTTCGTCCTTTACACTTTGCACAGGTCTTCCCCAAGCCGGACAACTACGAGCTATACATGCAAATATCCACAAAAGCGACACTTTTGTTTACTCTTTTACTTGTTTTTACAAGCTTTAACTTCGCTAACTGATGCTTCGTTTTGCAAGATTTTGGATTGATCCTCACTTATTTCTATTGCTCTGCAAATCTCTACAGCCTTTTGCAAGGTTAACTGACCTTCTCTTGATAGTTTTTCCTGTGTTATTTTATTGGTAATTCCCATGACAATCCTGTCCCTAATCATGTCGTCCTGCTTTTCATATTCTGTTGTCTTTTCTCAATTCAGTCAGAAAGTTGTCGAATGACTGGGCCTCTATTTGCACTATGCTATTAAATACAAATCTTTCAAAAATTACATTTTTCTTTGGTAAACCTCGGTTCCGAAATCAAATGTATTATTAAGGTCCAAACCTTAGAGCAGGAAAGCGCTGTCCTACGGACATAAGGAGTAGGAACGCGCCATTCTGCTTATGAAACTAAAGTGAAGCCAAATTTTAGGCAGGTATTTGGCACCAAGATACAGGTAAAGCATTGAATTGCCATAAGCGCCATTTTCTTAGTGCCAAAATACCTGGAAAAAAACGGCTTCATTTTCCAAATCCAGGTTACTACTCCTCTTTACCTGCTCTAAGGTCCAAACCCTATGAGGTTCAAAAATACAGCAAGTTTTTTGTCATCACTAAATCCAGCGGCAATCATGAAATTATCAATCTTTTGACTGAATTTCTTCCAATTCTCGACGATATTCCCCTCAAGTTCCAAAGGTTGTGGTGGTCTAAATAAACTTTCCATGTTTCTAGACTTTTGGTTCAACAAGTTCACCTGACACCATGTATTAGCTTGATGTTGTATACTCACCTAAGTACTCTGGGACTTAGGTGCACAATAATCCAAACTAACAGGATCTTTTAAGACTTTATTGGTTGAGTAACAAGGGCTACTTATTCTACTAGAGTACTCCTACAACCTCAGCTAACGGTGACAACCATATTAATATTAACATGACGGACATAGTCCATGACAACATAACAACTAACTGTCTAATTAATTACAAACAGGTAACATTGCGTGCCACATGCCATCTAGCCCCGCTACATCAACAACAACAACTATATAATACAGGCTTCTCTTCTGCACCTCTAAGGCTCATCCTGGACTCTGGAGTACTGCTCCTCGTTTTGGTCACCTATGTATTCTGTCTATATCAACGCATTGGAGCAGGTACAGCGTAAATTTGTACGGTACTTGGCCTTCAAGGCCGGTATTCATCCTCCCAGAAGGCACCAAAAATTCAGTACATGGTTGTCCATCTTTTGTTAACTTGGAGCCAACAGTATTTGATCAGATATCTGCACCTGCTGATATTCCTTCAACATTTCTCACCACACAGCCTTTATCGGGTTCTGAAGTGGTACTACTGGTAGCAGGTTCCCCAGAATTCATTGGATTCATTAAATTTTCAACATATCTCATGATCTCAATTTAGTGTAGGTTCTAACTCTTGAAAAAGTGTGACTAGTGAGTATTTGATGCCTCTCCAAATGACTGATAATTAAAGTTCATTTGCTCAAATATCATCGAAGATAATTATGAACAATTACTAATTAATTCAAACTGCGATTAAATTGATATTGAAAAAAATATATATGTCGGCCAATAAAACCACCGCCATAGCATTAAAATATGCAAAAATAAAATTTGCAATTTCCAGCAATAAAACGCTGTTTAAATATTTACGATGCGCCGCCCATTAAAGTGTATTTATTAAATTTGCGAGAAGGTGCTAATTGTCGATGCCATATTTTAATAGTTTCATTTTTCCCACACACAAATTTTTATCGCCTTTGAAAAATGCGCTGGTGCGTGGAATTTCATGAAGTTTGACTCGTTTTTTAGGTAACAATAGTGACCCAAATTTTAGTTGTATAACACAACCTTGTCGCAACGTCCAAACGACCAAAAAGTCAGATTTCAGATTAAAGCCTTAGTTAATTACGTTAGCTAACGACTATCACTAAAATGGAAATTCGAAAACAGCTTCGTTAATAGTATCGTTATTGACTGTAGTTAAGTTTTACCCAGGAGCATTAAATGTAGTTATTTTAAAACATCGGTTGTTCTTTGAAATTCGATTACCGTTAATTACATATTTTATGTCCATTTTATACTTTTATGTATAATTTTTTTCTCCTAACTGTTTTGATCTATAATTAATAGACCACTTTGACGTGGCAAATTGTGATAAAGAAAGAATGTTTCCTCCTTTGATTGATAAATTGAATGTGTGATATAAATTTCCCCTCGTTAAAGAAGGTTGCTGGTGCGTTATTTAATCCAAAAGGGTAAATTCACAATGTCCATTTTCAACATTAAATGTTGTTTTTGGTATCAAATTTGCATGCAAATTGTCCATATTTTGCCCTTTTACTAATCTTGATCTTAAAATATGCTGGAATTAAATAAATTTCAACTAATAGGATTATGATGGAAGCAATCGTCCCCCAAAGCCAGACCACATTCTATTGAATTGACAATAAGACCCTTTGTTGCAGGCTTTACTATATCTTTTACGTCATCAGTTACTTTTTTACTATACCCAGAAAGTTCAAAATATTTATTAGATACTACTCACACTTTTTTAAAAGTTTGAACCTGCACTAAATTGAGATCATGAGACATATTCAAAATTGCGATTTATTCAAAGTCCTGTCTTCGGAACTCAGTCAGTTCATAGTATAATTGAGTTTCTCAAGGTACCCAAAAGCAAAGTTTGAAGGGTCAAGATACTCACTACTCACAGTTTTCCAGGAGTTGGAACCTGCACTTAGTTGAGGTCATGAGATATGTTGAAAATTGGATTTTTCCTTTGGAAATTTCGACCGTCAATTTGTTCCAAGCCCTTTCTTTGGAAATCAGTCAGTTCATACATTAATTGAGTTGAGTTTCTCAAGGTGCCCAGAAGTAAAATTTGAAGACTCAAGATACTCACTACTCACACTTTTTGAGGCGTTGGAACCTGCATTTAGTTGAGGTCGTGAGATATGTTGAAAATTAGATTTTTCCTTTGGAAATTTGGACCGTCAATTTGTTCCAAGCCCTTTCTTTCGAAATCAGTCAGTCCATACATTAATTGAGTTGAGTTTCTTAAGGTACCCAGAAGTAAAATTTGAAGACTCAAGATACTCACACTTTTTCAGGAGTTGGAACCTGCACTTAGTTGAGGTCATGAGATATGTTGAAAATTAGATTTTTCCTTTGGAAATTTGGACCGTCAATTTGTTCAAAGCCCTTTCTTTGGAAATCAGTCAGTTCATACATTAATTGAGTTGAGTTTCTCAAGGTGCCCAGAAGTAAACTTTGAAGACTCAAGATACTCACTACTCACACTTTTTCAGGAGTTGGAACCTGCATTTAGTTGAGGTCATGAGATATGTTGAAAATTAGATTTTTCCTTTGGAAATTTGGACCGTCAATTTGTTCCAAGCCCTTTCTTTCGAAATCAGTCAGTCCATACATTAATTGAGTTGAGTTTCTCTAGGTACCCAGAAGCAAAGTTGGAAGGCTCAAGATACTCACTACTCACACTTTTCCAAGAGTTGGAACCTGCACTCAATTGAGATCATGAGATATGTTGAAAATTGGATTTTTCCCTTGAAAATTTGGATTGTTAATTCGTTCCAAGCTCTTTATTTGGAAATCAGTCTCTTCATACATTATATGAGCTTCTCAAGGTACCCAGAAGCAAAATTTGAAGACTCAAGAGTTGTCAAGAGTTGGAACCTGCACCTAAATGAGATCATGAGATATACCTATTGAAAATTCGGATTGTCAATTTGCTCCGAGCTCCTTCTTTGGAAATCATACTCCTCATACATTAAAAGTAAATCAATTTTTGATTCTTTTGGCCTCAAACCCTTTAGAGTAAGTCCCCAAAATCTCAACTCTGCACTCATTTTAGTTTTTGGGTGAGAAAATTAGAATGAGTCCTCAAAATTTCAACTTTGCGCCCATTTTAGTTTTTGAATGAGAAAACTGTAGAGGTTTAGTTCAAAAAACCTTTATTATTTTGAAAAACTCAATCACTGTGATTTTTTTAGCATCTTTTACCTACAATCTTCGCATCAAAAAGAAAAATATATCTATATATTTCAAGAAAATCATTGTTATTACCTGAATAAACACTAATACCTTCTATGAACTTCGAAGAACACTCCAGAACAATTAGGAAACTTTTGATACTTTTAAGAACGTTCCAGAGCGTTTTGAAAGCATTGTAGAACCAATTTACAACTTCACGAAATATGTTAGAACGCTCCGGAACAGAAGACGATAGTGCTAATTTGGAACACTCTAGAACACTTAAGAGTATATTTAGAACTTTGATACGTTTCAAAAGACTTTTGAAAGCTGAAATGATGAATGAATATAGTTCATTCGAAACCATTTCAGGTAGTGCAAACTCTACGATCCTTTCAATCAAATTATCAAAAATTACCATTTATAATTCGAGCCGCCCCCCTATAAAAAGTAACGACCGAAAATTTCGGGCAATTTTTGCAATGGGTACCGTAACTGGAACCCACCTATTTTGGCATTAAACTTAAATATTGGTATAATGAAGCCTATAACAACTACTAAAGTAAGATAATTGTTTATAAATCTTATGCATACCTAATCCAGCAATAATTTAGTATAACAGGCTTGAAATGCTCCTAATTAGTATTTCAGATTTATATGCTTAATGCCTATTGAAAGAGCCTCTGATCGTAAATTTCCTGTTCCTAGAAATTTTCAATCATGATTAAAAATGTCTGAATTTTTTCATATTTTTTCCAGGTCGAAGCAATATACGCTACTCCATCTACTCCGGAGATCCGGACGGTTTGTTTCGAATCGACCCGATAACCGGGGCGATCAAAGTGTCCGGAAATCTGGATCACGAGTCTAGGGCTTCGGTTCTACTCAACGTGCAAGCGACCAGCGGCAATCCTCCCGTTTATGGACATACACAGGTAAAAATTTTCTTAGATTAATAATGAATTTGACAAGGGGCAAACCACCTAGGAATTCTTTGGCAAAAATGCGCGGAATTTAGAGGAATTTGTGGGAAATTTAGAGGAATTTGTGGGGAATTTGAAGGAACTCGTCCGAATTTATGAGAATTTGGGGAAATTATAGGGAATTTGAAGGAATTTATGGGAAATTTGGGAGAATTTGTGAGGAATTTATGAGGAATTTGGAGGAAATTGTGAATAATGAATACAGTTTTTGTAGGTTGATTTCAAAAATTTGAAATTTTTGGTACCTGAGCTTCTCACCTTTCTCTTCAAAATTTTCCTTTCACTAATTTTCCAGGAAAACTTTGAAATGTGTGAGACTGTATTTTCAACTAATTCAGCTTTTGTAGGTCGATTTCCAAGATTTTTCATGTCACTGTTTTCCACTGGAAAAATTTGAAATTTTGGGAAAATGATGTTTTCTTTACATGCAAAAAGTTTAAAAATTTCCCCTTTTCTAGTTTTCCAGGAAAACTTTGAAATATGTGAGACTGTATTTTCAACTGATTCAGTTATTGTAGGTTGATTTACAAGATTCTTCATGTTGTAATTTTCACCAGAAAAAAATGAAATTCTGGAAAAATGAGCTTCTAACCTTTCTCTTTACATGCAATGTTTTAAATTTCTCCCTTAACTAGTTTTCCAGGAAAACTTTGAAATATGTGAGACTGTATTTTCCACTAATTCAGTTTTTGTAGGTTGATTTCCAAGATTTTTCATGTTGCTGTTTTTTACTGGAAAAATTTGAATTTTTGGGAAAATGAGCTTCTCACCTTTCCTCTTTACATGCAAAAAGTTTCAAAATTTTCCCTTCACTAGTTTTCCAGGAAAACTTTAAAATGTGTGAGACTGTATTTTCAACTAATTCAGTTTTTTTAGGTTGATTTCCAAGATTTTTCATGTTGGTGTTTTCCACTGGAAAAATTTGAACTTTTGGAAAAATGATGTTCTCACCTTCCTCTTTACATGCAAAAAGTTTCAAAATTTTCCCTTTTTTAGTTTTCCAGGAAAACTTTGAAATATGTGAGACTGTATTTCCAACTAATTCAGTTATTGTAAGTTGATTTCCAATATTCCTCGTGTTGCTGTTTTTCACTGGAAAAATTTCAAATTTTTGGAAAATGAGCTTCTCAGGAAAACTTTGAAATGTGTAAGACTGTATTTTCAACTAATTCAGTTTTTGTAGGTTGATTTCCAAGATTTTTTCATGTTGCTGTGTTCCATAGAAAAATTTGAAATTTTGGGAAAATGATGTTCTCACCTTCCTCTTTACATGCAAAAAGTTTCAAAATTTTCCCTCTTCTAGTTTTCCAGGAAAACTTTGAAATATGTGAGACTGTATTTTCAACTAATTCAGTTATTGTAGGTTGATTTCCAAGATTCCTCATGTTGTAATTTTTCACTGGAGAAATTTGAAATTCTGGGAAAATGAGCTTCTTACCTTTCTCTCTACATGCGAAAAGTTTTACATTTCTCCTTTCACTAGTTTTCCAGGAAAACTTTGAAATATGTGAGACTGTATTTTCCACTAATTCAGTTTTTTTAGGTTGATTTCCAAAATTTTTCATGTTGCTGTTGTCTACTGGAAGAATTTGAAATTTTGGGAAAATGAGCTTCTCACCTTCCTCCTTACATGCAAAAAGTTTCAAAATTTTCCCTTCAGTAGTTTTCCAGGAAAACTTTGAAATATGTGAGACTGTATTTTCAACTAATTCAGTTATTGTAGGTTGATTTCTAGGATTCCTCAAGTTGTAATTTTTTACTGGAAAAATTTGAAATTTTGGGAAAATGATGTTCTCACCTTCCTCTTTACATGCAAAGAGTTTCAAAATTTTCCCTTTTCTAGTTTTCCAGGAAAACTTTGAAATGTGTGAGACTGTATTTTCAACTAATTCAGTTTTTATAGGTTGATTTCCAGGATTTTTCATGTTGCTGTTTTCTACTGGAAAAATTTGAAATTCTGGGAAAATGAGCTTCTCACCTTCCTCTTTACATGTAAAAAGTTTCAGAATTTTCTCTTCTCTAGTTTTCCAGGAAAACTTTGAGATGTGTGAGACTGTATTTTCAACTAATTCAGTTTTTGTAGGTTGATTTCCAAGATTTTTCATGTTGCTGTTCTCCACTGGAAAAATTAAAATTTTGGGAAAATGATGTTCTCACCTTCTTCTTTACATGCAGAAAGTTTAAAAATTTCTCCTTTCCTAGTTTTCGAGAAAAACATTGAAATATGTGAGACTATATTTTCAAGTAATTCAGTTATTATAGGTTGATTTCCAAGATTCCTCATGTAATTTTTCACTGGAGAAATTTGAAATTCTACGAAAATGAGCTTCTAACCTTCCTCTTTACATGCAACAAGTTTCAAATTTCTCCCTCCACTAGTTTTCCAGGAAAACTTTGAAACATGTGAGACTGTATTTTCCACTAATTCAGTTTTTGTAGGTTGATTTCCAAGATTTTTCATGTTGCTGTTTTCTATTGGAAAAATTTGAAATTTTGGGAAAATAAGCTTCGCACCTTCCTCTTTACATGCAAAAAATTCCAAAATTTTCCATTCAGTAGTTTTCCGGGAAAACTTTGAAATGTGTGAGACTGTATTTTCAACTAATTCAGTTATTGTAGGTTGATTTTCAAAATTCCTCATGTTGTAATTTTTTACTGGAAAAATTTGATATTTTGGGAAAATGATCTTTTCACCTTCCTCTCTACATGCAGAAAGTTTCAAGATTTTCCTTTTTTTTAGAGGAATTTGTGGGGTATTTGGAGAAGTTCGTGGTAGGGTAATTGGATGAATTTGTGATAGAGTATCTGGAGGAATTTGCAGGAATTTTGAGGAATTATGCGTAAAAAATTCCCCTTTGAGGAATTGTTTGCACCAATTCTGGGATGGTGGTTTACCCCTTGGAATTTGTATACCTTAAAAATATGATTAGGTATGTGGTAGCGTGATTAAAGCCACGGTAATAGTTTTCAGAAAATTCTTCTGAGGCTTCTAGGAATTCTTCACAATAAGTTCTTCAACTCTAGAATCTCCTGAAAATCTTTTTTCTTCTGAACCTTCTAGTTATGGTTTGAATGGTCTGAAGATGTTTCAGAAGCTTCTGGGATTGGCTCTTGAAGCTCCTCTCTTCGCTGAAGCTTCTGGTCCCTATTTTTGAAGCTCTTCCTTTTCCTGAAGCTTCCAGGCCTTTTTTCTTGAATCTTGAACACCTACCTCCCTTATTTACACAAACTCATTCTAGGTCAACATCGAAATAAATGACGTCAACGACAACACGCCGGAATTCGAATCTCCAACAGTCCGCATCTCGATACCGGAAAACACCGATATTGGCGTTGCTATATACGCAGCTCACGCTACCGACAAAGACAGCGCTTCTAATGGCTTGGTGCGCTACAAGCTGACTAACACCGGTTCAGAACTCTTTAGCATCGACTCCAAATCCGGCCATTTGACTCTGAAGCGGAAGCTAGATTATGAAGTGTACAGAGGCACACGTTAATAGTGACTGCTACTGATTTAGGAGTGCCAGCGTTGTCAGCTAACTTGACTATATTGGTTGAGGTGCAAGATATGAACGATAATCCGCCAGTGTTCGAGAACAGCCAGTATGGTTTGAGCGTTTTGGAATCTTTGCCAATCAATTCACAAGTAAGTATAAGATTATATATACAGGGTGTACCATTGAAAATGGAACAGGCTTTATATGGTACATCCTGTATGTGTATATCCATGCTAACATGAATTTATTTAATTTGAATTTGTTTTGATGAAACTCACGATAACAACTCCTTTTCAGATCACCCAATTTACAGCTGTAGACGCGGACACTGGCAACAATGCCCGGATAACTTATCGTCTACTAACGTCAAACCAAACCAGCGATCAGGTTTTTGGAATTTTTCCAAATTCTGGCTGGTTGTATCTTAAAGCAAACCTGGATAGAGAGACCAAGAGCCGCTACAACCTCGTGGTGGCTGCCAGAGGTAAATAATAACTTCCATTTTCCTGGCTTATTTTAGCTTTAATATTTTCTAGATAACGGTTTGCCACCTCAAACAGCTACAGCCCAAGTGACTGTAGAGGTTGTTGACGTCAACGACAACGATCCAGCGTTTTTGGCAGAAAACTACCAATTTCAAATAGAAGAAAATCTATCTAGAGGCACTTTTGTCGGCAAACTTCAAGCCAGCGATAAGGATTCCGGTATAAACGCCGCCTTGCGTTACAGTCTGATACCGAACAACGGTAGTTTCCAAATTAACGTCGCTACTGGTAAGCAATAATAATTTGTCGATTTATAGCAGGATAGTAAAGGTTTAATGTTGGAGCAATTAACCGCAATAAAAGGTGCATGTTCGTTTATGGGTATATTGAATTTAAGATGACATTTAGCTTTAGTTAAAACATTTTCCCATTTATTTTCACAAATTGTTTAATCATTCTTTGGGCCTGGACATATTCATATCGCATCAGCCACCAAAAGAGTAGTTTTAAATTAAGTAGGTACCGCGCGAGATTTTGTTCTATTTTCATTAAAAAAGTCGAGAGCCCCTTTAACAGCATAAGCCTCTTATACACTCTCCGTATCTCTTTAGCAAAATCAGGGGTGTCAAAATTAATCATGCGTTGTCGACGTAAAGTTGTTTGCAGCCGTCTCAATTTACCGTGTATAGGTACGGCTCCGAAATGGAAAACGATATTTATGCCCCGAGAGAGAGATGAGTTTTCGGAAACAGCGAACCCGTAAAGATAAAATCGGCTCTTTTCTTTGCACCATTAAATAATTCGAGTCGTTTTTCAACTGAGAAAAATTGAAAGTTTTTATTTGGCGAATTTTTTTATTTGGTTTCACCTCAAATTGAGGAAATTGCAATGGGCAAGCCACCTAGGAATTCTTTGCAAAAATGTAAAGAATTTAGAGGAATTTGTGGGAAATTTAGAGGACTTTATGAGGAATTTGAAGGAACTTATCCGAATTTATGAGAATTTGGGGAATTTATAGGGAATTTGGAGGAATTTATAGGGAATTTGGGAGAATTTGTGAGGAGTTTATGAGAAATTTAAAAGAAATTGTCAAATTTAAAAAATTCAAAAGAATAATGAATACAGTTTTTGTAGGTTAATTTCCAAGATTTTTCATGTTTTCTACTGGAAAAATTATAAATTTTTGGAAGCTTCTCACCTTCCTCTCTACATGCAAACAGTTTCAAAAGTTTCCCTTTACTAGTTTTCCAGGAAATCTTTGAAATGTGTGAGACTGTATTTTGAATTAGGTAATTCAGTTATTGTAGGTTAATTTCCAAGATTTTTCATGTTACTGTTCTCCACTAGAAAATTTGAAATTTTGGGAAAATGAGCTTCTTACCTTCTTCTTTACATGCAGAAAGTTTCAAAGTTTTCTTTTTGCTAGTTTTCCCGGAAATCTTTGAAATATGTAAGACTGTATTTTCAATTAATTCAATTATTGTAGGTTGATTTCCAAGATTTTACATGTTGCTGTTTTCTACTGGAAAATTTTGAAATTTTGGGAAAATGAGCCTCTCTCCTTCCTCTTTACATGCAAAAAGTTTCAAAATTTTCCCTTGTTTAGTTTTCCAGGAAATCTTTGAAATGTGTGAAACTGTATTTCCAACTAATTCAATTTTTGTAGGTTGATTTCCAAGATTTTCCATGTTGTTATTTTTCACTGGAAAATGAGCTTCTCACCTTGCTCTTTACATGCAAAAAAATTCAAAATTTTCCCTCCACTAGTTTTCCAGGAAAACTTTGAAATGTGTGAGACTGTATTTTCAACTAATTCAGTTTTTGTAGGTCGATTTCCAAGATTTTTCATGTTGCTGTTTTCTAATGGAAAAATTTGAAATTCTGGGAAAATGAGCTTCTCACCTTCCTCTTTACATGCAAAAAGTTTCAAAATTTTCGCTTCTCTAGTTTACCAGGAAAACTTTGAAATGTGTGAGAATATATTTTCAACTAATTCAGTTTTTGTAGGTTGATTTCCAAGATTTTTCATGTTGCTGTTTTCTAATGGAAAAATTTGAAATTCTGGGAAAATGAGCTTCTCACCTACCTCTTTACATGCAAAAAGTTTCAAAATTTTCTCTTCTCTAGTTTTCCAGGAAAACTTTGAAATGTGTGAGACTATATTTTCAACTAATTCAGTTTGTGTAGGTTGATTTCCAAAATTTTTCATGTTGCTGTTTTCTACTGGAAAAATTTGAAATTTTGGGAAGATGAGCTTCTCACCTTCCTCTTTACATGCAAAAAGTTTCAAAATTTTCCCTTCTCTAGTTTTCCAGGAAAACTTTGAAATGTGTGAAACTGTATTTTCAACTTATTCAGTTTTTGTAGGTTGATTTCCAAGATTTTTCATGTTGCTGTTTTCCACTGGAAAAATTTGAAATTTTGGGAAGATGTGCTTCTCACCTTCCACTTTACATGCAAAAAGTTTCAAAATTTTCTCTTCTCTAGTTTTCCAGGAAAACTTTGAAATGTGTGAGAAAATATTTTCAACTAATTAAGTGTTTGTAGGTTGATTTCCAAGATTTTTCATGTTGCTGTTTTGCAATCAAAAAAATTGAAATTTTGGGAAAACGAGCTTGTCACCTTTCTCTGTACATGCAAAAAGTTTCAAAATTTTCCCATCTCTAGTATTCCAGGAAAACTTTGAAATGTGTGAGTATTTACAACTAATTCAGTTTGTGTAGTGTAGGTTGATTCCCAAGATTTTTCCTGTTGCTGTTTTCTACTGGAAAAATTTGAAATTTTGGGAAGATGAGCTTCTCACCTTCCTCTTTACATCCAAAAAGTTTTGAAAATCTTCCCTTCTCTAGTTTTCCAGGAAAACTTTGAAATGTGTGAGACTGTATTTTCAACTTATTCAGTTTTTGTAGGTTGATTTCCAAGATTTTTCATGTTGCTATTTTCCACTGGAAAAATTTGAAATTTTGGGAAAATGAGCTTCTCTCCTTCCTCTTTACATGCAAAAAGTTTCAAAATTTTCCCTTGTTTAGTTTTCCAGGAAATCTTTGAAATGTGTGAAACTGTATTTTCAACTAATTCAATTTTTGTAGGTTGATTTCCAAGATTTTCCATGTTGTTATTTTTGAAAAATTTGAAACTTTGGGAAAATGAGCTTCTCACCTTGCTCTTTACATGCAAAAAGTTTCAAAATTTTCCCTCCACTAGTTTTCCAGGAAAACTTTGAAATGTGTGAGACTGTATTTTCAACTAATTCAGTTTTTGTAGGTCGATTTCCAAGATTTTTCATGTTGCTGTTTTCTAATGGAAAAATTTGAAATTCTGGGAAAATGAGCTTCTCACCTTCCTCTTTACATGCAAAAAGTTTCAATATTTTCTCTTCTCTAGTTTTCCAGGAAAACTTTGAAATGTGTGAGACTGTATTTTCAACTAATTCAGTTTGTGTAGGTTGATTTCCAAGATTTTTCATGTTGCTGTTTTCCACTGGAAAAATTTGAAATTTTGGGAATATGAGCTTCTCACCTTCCGCTTTACATGTAGAAAGTTTCAAAATTTTCTCTTCTCTAGTTTTCTAGGAAAACTTTGAAATGTGTGAGAATATATTTTCAACTAATTCAGTTTTTGTAGGTTGATTTCCAAGATTTTTCATGTTGCTGTTTTCAAATCAAAAAAATTGAAATTTTGGGAAAATGAGCTTCTTACCTTCCTCTTTACATCCAAAAAGTTTCAAAATTTTCCCTTCTCTAGTTTTCCAGGAAAACTTTGAAATGTGTGAGACTGTATTTTCAACTTATTCAGTTTTTGTAGGTTGATTTCCAAGATTTTTCATGTTGCTGTTTTCCACTGGAAAAATTTGCAATTCTGGGAAAATGAGCTTCTCACCTTCCTCTTTACATGCAAAAAGTTTCAAAATTTTCTCTTCTCTAGTTTTCCAGGAAAACTTTGAAATGTGTGAGAAAATATTTTCAACTAATTAAGTGTTTGTAGGTTGATTTCCAAGATTTTTCATGTTGCTGTTTTGCAATCAAAAAAATTGAAATTTTGGGAAAACGAGCTTGTCACCTTTCTCTGTACATGCAAAAAGTTTCAAAATTTTCCCATCTCTAGTATTCCAGGAAAACTTTGAAATGTGTGAGTATTTACAACTAATTCAGTTTGTGTAGTGTAGGTTGATTCCCAAGATTTTTCCTGTTGCTGTTTTCTACTGGAAAAATTTGAAATTTTGGGAAGATGAGCTTCTCACCTTCCTCTTTACATCCAAAAAGTTTTGAAAATCTTCCCTTCTCTAGTTTTCCAGGAAAACTTTGAAATGTGTGAGACTGTATTTTCAACTTATTCAGTTTTTGTAGGTTGATTTCCAAGATTTTTCATGTTGCTATTTTCCACTGGAAAAATTTGAAATTTTGGGAAAATGAGCTTCTCTCCTTCCTCTTTGCATGCAAAAAGTTTCAAAATTTTCCCTTGTTTAGTTTTCCAGGAAATCTTTGAAATGTGTGAAACTGTATTTTCAACTAATTCAATTTTTGTAGGTTGATTTCCAAGATTTTCCATGTTGTTATTTTTGAAAAATTTGAAACTTTGGGAAAATGAGCTTCTCACCTTGCTCTTTACATGCAAAAAGTTTCAAAATTTTCCCTCCACTAGTTTTCCAGGAAAACTTTGAAATGTGTGAGACTGTATTTTCAACTAATTCAGTTTTTGTAGGTCGATTTCCAAGATTTTTCATGTTGCTGTTTTCTAATGGAAAAATTTGAAATTCTGGGAAAATGAGCTTCTCACCTTCCTCTTTACATGCAAAAAGTTTCAATATTTTCTCTTCTCTAGTTTTCCAGGACAACTTTGAAATGTGTGAGACTGTATTTTCAACTAATTCAGTTTGTGTAGGTTGATTTCCAAGATTTTTCATGTTGCTGTTTTCCACTGGAAAAATTTGAAATTTTGGGAATATGAGCTTCTCACCTTCCGCTTTACATGTAGAAAGTTTCAAAATTTTCTCTTCTCTAGTTTTCTAGGAAAACTTTGAAATGTGTGAGAATATATTTTCAACTAATTCAGTTTTTGTAGGTTGATTTCCAAGATTTTTCATGTTGCTGTTTTCAAATCAAAAAAATTGAAATTTTGGGAAAATGAGCTTCTCACCTTCCTCTTTACATCCAAAAAGTTTCAAAATTTTCCCTTCTCTAGTTTTCCAGGAAAACTTTGAAATGTGTGAGACTGTATTTTCAACTTATTCAGTTTTTGTAGGTTGATTTCCAAGATTTTTCATGTTGCTGTTTTCCACTGGAAAAATT